ACCAGCTTTCAAAGGGAAAAATCATTGGAGTTATGCCTTATATTGCCCCAGAAGTGTTGTTAGGCGGTGATTACACACCAAAAGCTGATGTTTATGGGTTTGGTGTTATTATGGCAGAAGTAACAACTGGAGAAAGACCCTACGATGGATATCAATTTAACACTGAACTTGCAATAAAAATTTGTCATGGACTACGACCAGAATTCGCGCCTGGAACTCCTAATTGCTATGTTGAATTAGCTAAACTTTGTATGGATTCAAATCCACAGAATCGACCTACTGCTGAAGACGTTAATTTGAAGATTTATGAGTGGCAGCAAATTTTAAGAGTTCGAGAATACTCGACAAATGACAAAGAAAAACTTAAAATACGAGAGAATTTTATCGCTAACGAAGTGATTAAATCGTTGCCTAACACATTGCCAAGTTATTTAGATTCTAAATTTGCTAGTAAACTTATAAATATACAAGAGATTAAAACATCTTCAGCTACTTTTAAAAAACATCCAGTTTCTATGTATACAAATAAACTTATAAATACGGAAGAAATTAAGCAAGCGTTTAGTAGATCCATTGATATGAGTAAAGCAGGTGAATTTTCAAAAATATAATATTTTATTTTTATTTAAAATAATTATTGAAAGTTAATTTGTAATTGCAATAGATTCAACACTTTGCCATTTTAGTGTTTCAAACTATTTAAGTAATAATAACGGTATATTAATTTCATATATCGGTCATTTAAAAACTATAAGATTTTTAACAATTATTTCTTTAAATTCTGAATTTATAGATAATGGGAATAATGCACTTCCCTGTAAAAGAAAAGCATTAGATATTAATGGTTGGTCAAATTTTATTTAATTTTATTTATTATGCTTATATCGGTTATTTAAAAATTGTAAGTTTTTTAACAAGTAACTTTTAAATTCTGAATTTATAGATAATAATCATACACTATCTCATAAAAGAATAATATTAGATATTAATGGTTGGTTTAATTTTTTATTTACTATTAGGGCTCTGACATTTATTACGTAATATCCATTTACTATAAGGGCTACCCCCTCCCCCACGTAAGATCTATATGATTGGCCAATTTAGAAATTATATAATTTCTTTGTGTAACGTAAGACGTTGATATAA